AAATTAATCAAGTTAGAGCCACTTAAAGTTCTCATTTGATTAGTTTAAATTTGTGGACACCCTGTATAACATGGTAAGTTTATTATCATTGGGATATAAAATATTGCATCTTGTTACACTTCACTATAAATTACGCTTACATAACTTAAGTGCTTATAAAGTATTTGACACGTGAAAATTAGACTAGATTTTGATTAAAATCGTATTATTGGAAAAACCTTAAGATTTAGGCATCAGAAACCTTATTAAAACAGACACTTATTTTGTTCAGCGAAGCCAAACATTCCATTTAAAAAAACGCTTAAAATGTGCGCTCGGTAGGCGTCGGACAACTCATAAAATAACACTTTTTAAATATCAAACGGTTTAGCCGCAAACTTCCGTGCCGTATCGCGTGAATAACCCTCTATATGGCTGAACTTATACTGATAATATTAAAGGCATTTTGATTATAGTCTTATTCTAACAGTAGGGCCTACCTGTTGAGGTTCAGTCTGTGTTTCTTCAGTCTTGGACTCTCGTTTTCGGCCCTGGACGCTCTTCTGGCTTCTGGATCTGCGCCGCGCCGGGACACAATGTGGATCGCAACATGGACTGGCCAAGTCGTACGCCTCAAGACTGGTGTTGTCGCCTGAAAATCCCCAACAAATCAACAGTCCGAATGGACTTCGGACTTTACACTTCACTGACCATTGTTGGTGTTCACAGTGACGCATGGACTGCATAGATGGCCTCCGTAGCTGTGACATGGTCCATGGCCTTTTTTGGGCTTTTCTGCGCTCTGCTGAGATCGGGTGGGCTGCTTGGGCGGCGTTGAGTCGCACGGCGTTTTTACGATAAAGTTTGGGTCCCGACTATCAGCGTATCTGCCGATAGAAAGGGGGACTTGTACAGGGTGTTTCCTCTTTAGTTGACGCCACCCCTAGACCATCCCGACTTTGCTTTTGCCACTTTTCACTGTTTTGAAGTGATAAATATCGCACGGTGTGAAGCGGTTGAAGACACTTTTTCACCACACAAAACGAACGTGTAAAAACCGCTTAATTTAAAACTTCAATTGCAATAAATACTGCTTTACTAACAACTGATTTCAAAGTTGATGTGGTTGTATTTACTCGTTGCCATGGCGCACGTCTTGTATTGAAAGAGTCGACAAGCGATTGGTCGACCAGGTTTACGTGTTTCCGGAAAACACGTCACCAGTGACGGTTTCTAGGCAACGAAGGTTGTTGTTGATGTCTTTGATTGTGGAAAAGTGGCGATTTTGTGCGGAAATTTTTGGTAAATAATCCGTAACAAAGCACAATCGTGGCTTAAACAAGTTCAATATTTTATGGTTTCCATAAATAATATGAACAACGTCCCGTAACGCACACCTTTTTTATAAATAAATGATCCACGGCGTTGCCAGCTTCATTCATCAAGAAACAGACAGACTCTGGGCGTAGTTTCGGTTTAATTGCGCTATAAGTGGTAAGTCGGGTTACCTTTGCGGCTCAAAAGTAAGCAAATATTCCCCGCTTGAGTGGTTGGAGGGTTGCAGCAAGTAGCGGTAGGAGTTGTCCAGGTACTGGTAAGTGAATACTAGAGGCGGAGTGGCCGGTTGCGTTCTTTGGGCCACTTTGGCAACGTCCTCAGTGGATACAGTCGGTCGGCAGAAGCTGTAGTAACCTGGAATGTTTTTTTCGATAAATCCTTGTGGGTTTATTAAGGATGGTTGCCACCTTGGGGGGTGGGCGGGCCGCTGTTGTTGCTCTGCGAGGCCTTTTTCCGGGCTGGAAGGCTGTGGGTTTTCCATTTTCCTTCCAGAAGTTGGCGCTCTTTGATGCACAGTCGCTCCAGTTCGTCCATTTTGCTTTCGAGGATGTTTTGGAGCTTTATGTAGCGCATGTGGAGCTCCACCTGCAAATTTTGTTACCAACTTATGTTGCCAAATTTTCCCAGATTTCCAACTTCTCGAACATTTAAAGTGGGATTTTCTCGTCCACACGAAGTGGCAAGCGCGTTCAACGCTCGGCTAGTTTTACCAAAAGTAATTTTTGAAAACGCGACTGACACAGTCGTTAAGCAACGTGTCGAGTTTTACTTCCGTATATCCACTTGCCAATTTTTCCCATATTTCTTGCGAAAAACGACATTCTTCAGGGCATGCAAAGTGAGGATTTGGCTTTTTAGCAGAGTTTCACACGCCTTTCAGTCTTACCTCATTTCAGAGGAGTTCATTTTTGAAAATATCCTTGTTATGCAATTAACAATCGTGTTGGAGTCCGTGCTAAATGTCACTTCAAAAGGCTGCCAATCTCCCTAAGATTCTTTTTTGAAACACGAAACTCTGTGGTTTGAAACCGGGAAGTTTTGTCTTTTGAATGCACTTAAAATCGCCTTTTAACCTTGCTCAGTTTTTGCAAAATTAATTTTTGAAAACACAGTGATCACAAAAAAACGTGTCAGCGCGCGTGTTACATGTTGCATCAAAAGGGTGCCAATCTTCGCCAGAATTTTGAAAAAGTTTCACTCCCGGAGCATAGAAAGTTATATATTTTCTACCTAATGGAATGGCATGCACCTTTTCACACAGTCTAGATTTTTCACACTGAATTTTTGAAAAAACTAATACGAGACTGAGAAACTCATTGGGCGCATATCAAGGGTCCCTTCAAACAGCTGCCAATATTTACCAGATTTTTTGCAAAATTTCAGTCTTTCACGAATTTTAGAGTGAAGATTTTTCTTTCTAATGGTGGTACAGTCACCTTTCAGTCTGTGGTACTTTTTGCTGAATTAATTCTTGAAGAAATCTGCGCGGTAGCAAAAATACGTTTAGGCCCGTTTTACCGGTTACTTCAAAAGGATGCAAAGATTTTTCAGAATTGGTTTGAAAAATGAAATTTTCAGCATCTTAACCGTGCAGTAATCCTTATTTAACCTAGTGGAAAACGTATTTCAATTTAGCGTAGTTTTCGCAAAATTAATTTTTGAAAACACTGTGAGCACAAAAAAACGTGTCAGCGCGCATGTTACATGTTGCATCAAAAGGGTGCCAATCTTCGCCAGATTTTTAAAAAAAAGTTTCACTCCCAGAACATAGAAAATTACATTTTTTCTACCTAATGGAATGGCATGCACCTTTTGCCACAGTCTAGTTTTTTCACACTGAATTTTTGAAAAAACTAATACGCGACTGAGAAACTCATTGGGCGCTTATCAAGAGTCGCTTCAAACAGCTGCCAATATTTACCAGATTTTTTGCAAAATTTCAGTCTTTCACGAATTTTAGAGTGAAGATTTTTCTTTCTAATGGTGTTACAGTCGCCTTTCAGTCTGCCGTACTTTTTGCTGAATTAATTCTTGAAGAAATCTACCCGGAAGCTAAAATGCGTTTGGGCCCGTTTTACGCGGTACTTCAAAAGGATGCAAAGATTTTTCAGAATTCGTTTGAAAAATGAAATTTTCAGCATCTTAACCGTGCAGTAATCCTTATTTAACCTAGTGGAAAACGTATTTCAATTTAGCGTAGTTTTCGCAAAATTAATTTTTGAAAACACTGTGAGCACAAAAAAACGTGTCAGCGCGCATGTTACATGTTGCATCAAAAGGGTGCCAATCTTCGCCAGATTTTTTTTAAAAACTTTTCACTAACAGAACATAGAAAATTACATTTTCTCTACCTAATGGAATGGCATGCACCTTTGACACAATCTAGTTTTTTCACACTGAATTTTTGAAAAAACTAATACGCGACTGAGAAACTCATTGGGCGCTTATCAAGGGTCGCTTCAAACAGCTGCCAATATTTACCAGATTTTTTGCAAAATTTCAGTCTTTCACGAATTTTAGAGTGAAGTTTTTTATTTCTAATGGTGTTACAGTCGCCTTTGAGTATGCCGTACTTTTTGCTGAATTAATTCTTAAAGAAATCTGCGCGGAAGCAAAAATGCGTTTAGGCCCGTTTTACCGGTTACTTCAAAAGGATGCAAATATTTTTCAGAATTGTTTCGAAAAATGATATTTTCAGCATCTTAACCGTGAAGTAATCCCTATTTAGCAGGGTTGAAAAGGCCTTGTGATTTAGAGCAGTTTTTGCACAATTAATTTTTGAAAAAAACTAATACGCGACTGAGAAACTCATTGGGGCGCATATCAAGGGTCGCTTCAAACAGCTGCCAATATTTACCAGATTTTGTGCAAAATACACTAATGTTTTCACTTGATTAGCAAAAAATTCCTGCATAAATCCAGCTAGAAATCGGTTTATTACCTTCCTGACGCAGTCCTCAAACAGCACCACCATTCTCATCCTGGACTCGCAGTTTTTGATGTAATTTACCAGCGTTTTGTGGTCGGCTTTCTCCATATCAGTGCCGTTGATTGAAAGGATCACGTCGCCTTCGCGCATTCCCGCTCTGGACCGGGAAAGAATTTATTAATTAAAAAGAATGAAAAAATTAACTCAAAAAATCTCGACGGGCGCTGGATGCGGATTACCTGTAGGCTGGACCGTCATAATCCACATAATCCACATAGGTGATCATTTCGATTTCCTTCTCCTTCTTGTAGTGGATCCCATAGCTCTGGATGGTGAAGCCAAAACTCCCGCTTTTCTTCTCCACTATTATGGTGCGACGACGTCGATCCTCCTCCGGCTTGGTGACGATCACTTTGTCCGATTGGACTCTTTCCAGTATCTGGGCCTGGAAAGTTTCACTTTTTTTAACGATTTCTCCTAAACCTTTTTTTGGGCTCAAAAGTGAAATCGCTCATTTATGGCCAGTGGCGTCGATCGAGGATCCTCCTCCACTAATTAATTAATTATCTATTCTGGGACGCATTTTTTAATATTCCTATCACGAATCTGGGCGCTTGCTTGGATGATTCAGATGAGCATTGTTTTGAACAATTGAAAACTCGGCCCCCTAGATGGAATTCCGTGGGTCATTGTGGGAAAACTATAGATGGAAGCGGTGTTTATACACGGTGTCTTCAAAAAAATGTTTTTTGGTGACTTATGCTAGAAAACGCTTTAGATTTTTCACGTGAAAATGTTCCTCTTTGTTTTTGAAATCGATTTTTTCCCCAACTTACTGTGCTTGAGGTGGCGGCGCTGCCCTCATCATCGCTACTCTGAGTCTGCGACTGGGAATGCTGATGGCTTTGTCGCCGCATTTCTGAGCCTTTCGCCTCCCTAAACTAAATCATGGAAAATTTGGCAACTTTTCCATTGTCTTCCGCATGGAAGCTCCATTGTTTCACTGCGGCCACTTGCCATGATTAGTGGGCGTTTTTTACACACTGGAAACCCGTTTTTTTGGCAAAAATCGCTGAATTCCGGCCATCATAAAGCCGCGCACTTGATCGAATGGGGGGCCGTTTTATTTTAAGGGCTCAAAACAGCTGTTCGATACAAGGATTGTCTATTTACGTGCAGATCCAGTGTGCGTCGCGACGGCGTCGATCGACGTCGTCGTCATGGCGCTAACGTTTTACCGGGGCGGCTCAATAACAAACCAGCCTCGTTTTTTTTACTTACATTGGTATTCTCCATTTCTTGCTCACCCATCACGAAACAACCGCTCCAAATGCACCAGCATGGGTATTTCCAGAAGCTGGCGCGTGGCCTGCCATTGTTTCGATGGTCATTTGTCCGACCGTCGATTATTTTTGAGGAGAATATTTTTAGATGATTGCGCGCTGTTTGCACTGGAAAAACACCTCCGATCTTTTGGCAAAGAACCGTAACTAAGCGGAATTAGTGAGCAAATTCGTGCTGGTAACCTCCGCAGAACCTTCAGGAAAGTCGGAAAACGATTGGCAATTGTTTAGCGCAGTGTATAATTTGCCTGCAGGTTGACTTCTACGGGTTTGCGCGTTTACTAAATCGACGGCGACGCTGAATAATTATCGTCAACCGATCTACAGGGCGAGCCAACAAAAATCAAATTTCTAGTTTTTTACGCGTGGTCTTTCCACCAGCCAAATGCATGGGCTCAATGCATGGCCTCGATTTAATGCTTTGGAAAAATCAGTCTTCTTAGTAATTTTATAAATAAATTCAACAATGTCTTGGCTAAAAGGTTAAGGTTTGTCCACTCGTGAAAAATCAAGATCAGGTGGGATTCGGAAAGGTCAAAATTTCTCAAAAAGCTCAGAAATTTTCGAGTTTCTAGTTGTTCTGGTTTGAAAGTGTTGTGTGAAAAGTTTGGAAGAACACTGTTCCTTCGGAACGTTCACTATTGAGCCAAAATTTCCAAAACGTTGAAAACGCAAGTTCATTAGATGATTTGTTGCAAGTTTCAATTGACCCATAAACAGAAATTTTCAAGCTTCTACTTGTTTTGGGTTTTCGGGTATTTAATTATTTTTCAAACCTTTCTCAAGAACCATTCGACAGAATTTGGTTTGGCATCGTTGGATAGAGAATTGAAAACTCGATTCAGTCGTAACAACGTGAATTAGGAAATTCGAATAGTTTTGGCCCAGAAAGCGAAATTTTAATATCAGACACTTTGGTGCAAGATTATGATAAAATTTCATGTTTTTCCGTCACTCTTTTGCTCATTTCTCGGAGGCAAAATGAGCAAGAACGCTCATTTGTACATTATTCTAGAGATAAATAAATGGCCTTTTTAGCAAGTGAACCATCGATAAGGAAATGTTGGCAGTTTTCTCAAAAAATGTTTGCGCAAAGTGCAAAAAAAGTGCAAAAATAGTCGATTTTTTCAGAACCGCGCTTAGACTTTTGCTCACTTTCAGAGAACCTTTGGAGTAGCAGACCTCTAGTTTCTTCTACTGGAGAGACCATTGAAGTGCACTCTTTTTCATATCAAACATCGTCTTGGAAAAGTTTCTTGTTATCTCAGGAAATGCGAAAGTGCAAAAATAGTCGATTTTTTCAAAACCGCGCCTAGATTTCTGCTGATTTTTAGAGAACCTTTGGAGTAGCAGACCTCTAGTTTCTTCTACTAGAGAGACCATTGAAGTGCACTCTTTTTCATATCAAACATCGTCTTGGAAAAGTTTCTTGTTATCTCAGAAAATGCGAAAGTACAAAAATAGTCGATTTTTTCAGAATCGCGCTTAAATTTTTGCTCACTTTTAGAGAACCGTTAGAGTACCACGCCTCTAGTTTCTTCTACTGGAGAGAGCATTCAAGTGCACTATTTTTCATTTTAGAAGAAGCTTTAGATTTGCGCGGTTTGCTAAATCCACTTAAACATGTCGCTGTTTTTTTCGAAGTTTCTCAAGAACCATTCGAGCCACAGAATTTGTTTTGGCATCGTTGGATAGAGAATTGAATGGGGATCCGCCCTTGCACCTTCTAGAAAACGTTTGGGTTGCTAGATCGTGCATGATAAGAAAAATATTGCCGATCAAAAACCACGTAAATTTGCTCAAAACGATTATTTTCGATCTGAAGAATTTAACCGTGTTTTTCAAAGGGCTTTACGTTAAAAAGTCCATAGAATTAGCGGTGTTTGAAGCGTTTTTTCAACGCCACCTAAAAAGCTTCTTGGTATGCATTGAAATCAAGTTTGGCCGCACTGAACTTGTTGGTGTTTATGCGTGATTTCCTTCGCCTGTTTATTTCTTCACTAGGCCGAAGATTGGGTTAATGAGAATGCACAATTAATCGCCTAAGTGCAGCGCTAAAGCGGTTTTCATGTCTGTTTAGAAAGGATTTTGTTCTGCGATTATCGCTAAGTCAATTGACGGTGGTTTTATTGCCTTGATATCCGTTAGACAAGTCTCAAACATGCAAGCTGGTATTTGCATGTTTGAGGCACATTTTGTTTAATTACCCGCAAACTTTTCCAATCAAATCGTCTTAATGCTACTTAAAAAAACGGTGTTTTTCATTTTTATTAATACATTTATTGAACTTTTCAGTTAAAGTCACAAAATCGATTGTTTGTCGAAATCGTCAATGTTTCCTGGCCACTATCAACAGTTATAATTTGCAATGAAAGCCCACAAAGCCGCAGCCTTGACCAGACGCTCGAATTGTTAAGGCACACAACTACCTGCTAACAGCAGCCGCAAATGTTGATTTTTGCAGTTAATTTGATTTTACATTTTAATCCCCCCGAGTTTTGCCAATAGCATTGAAAAAAATTGGACAAAAACAGCAAAATCGCTTTAATCTTACACCAACATACAACGTTTATTTGGATAACTTGGATTCGCCCTCTTGATTGTTTCGGCTGGACACCAGCTTGGACAGTCCCAGCACGTCACTGATGCCTAAAAAATCCCCCAAAAAATCAACTTCTCACCCTTTTCTCCTATTTTCTGCTTCACCCACCTGATAAAATGTTGGCACTCTGGTGCTTATCCACCGTGGAAATGTTCTTGGTGACTCTCACTTGTTTGTCCGGAAACAATGGAAAACTGCTTCCGTTCAGGG